GGAAATGGAAAAGCATAACAGGGATAATAAATATATCCCTACCTCATGTTACAAAATGAACACTGGTAAAAAGAAAAGTTTGTTAAATGTTCTGGTCAGAAGAAATTTAATAACTAGAAAGAAGCAGGATATGAGGCCTTTTGTGTTATAATACATAAAAGACAGAAAATGTGCATTTGCTGTTTTCCTCAAATACTGGCCTCTCCATTTTTCACCAAATCCAGTTTACATTAATTTTAAGACATATCCTTATATAGTTCATGGATTTGGTTTATGCACAAACCAAAGTAACTGAAAAGGAAATTAAGACTTTTTGGCCCCACAGAATCTGACATTTGTATGAACAAGGAGCTTTGCGCATTGAGATTTTGGGTTGAAGCGTATGTATGAAATGAGATAGCTCTTTTTTAAACAAGTAGCTAGTAACAATTGAAAAACTTAGTGTTCTTGCCTTTTCTGTCAACCATTCAGAGAACATTTTTGACAAGTGTAACTTGCCATGTGTATGCTGAAACTCCAATTTTTCTATTGCAATTAAAGCTTAAACCTTATGGACAGTTTGAGAGCAAGTTCCCATAAGCCATAGTTATTTACTAACCCTAATCTTAGTGTTTTAAATGCTGTTGTGTATTTAACGTCCACTTAATGTGCAAAATGGGATGAACTTTATCACTTACTAAAAAAGTACAAAACGTGAGGCATACCTTGTATTGATTCCACAATGAATGGGACTAAGAGTCAGGCTGTTTTTTTCTTTTTGTTTTTTGCACCGAGAGCTTGGTGATACTAAGGGGCAAAATTGGTGTTTTAAATGTTTCATATAGCCTCTCATCCCTGAAATTTCCTCAACACCCGTTCCAAGAAAACAGGATATGGCACCTAGCCAGTGAAAATGAGATGCCCGAGTGCTGAAATCTAGGCAGTAAGCTATTCTCCAAAGCACAGGAAGAGCGAGCAGTTGAGAAGCGCGCACGTTCTCCAGAAATACTGTTCGCTCCTTATCAGAGATGATTTCTGCACCCACTCCCTTCTGAAGAGGAAACCGTAGCGCCCGACCCGCATCCGTTTCTGCGCGGGATCTATCCCTTGCACCTTCGATCGACTCCCTGCCTTTCGGCGGCGCAGAACCGGCGCCCACAAAGTTCTCGTTACAAAAGCAAGGAAACAATACCCCCACCCCATCCCACTCCCTAGTCCTCCGAAACAAGTTCTTGTCCCCGCTCGCTCCCGCTTTCCCAGCGGCAACCATTTTGTCGCCCTGCTCCTCACTTTCGCCTGCCCCTCCAACCCACGACGACAGCACGCGACGTCCCCATGACGCGCGCCACTGCGCCGATGGAAGATCGCGTGCGCGTGACGCCTTCACCTGGCCAACGGAGATCGCGTTGCCTCTTGCCGCCTGGGCTTGCCGCTCCGATTTGCGTGCCATGCCCTGGCCCCGCCTTCCCTTGCTGCTGCTGCTGCTGCTGCCGCTGCTGCCCCGAGCACGGCACATGCGCAGTAGGAGCCGGGGCGGCCGAGCCGGGGGAGTCGGAGTTCAGTGTCGCGGTAGCGGGAGACAAAGCAAGTGAGAAAATGAATGGGACGGGGCCGCTCGAACCTTCCT